AACTCCTACCACTGCAAAACCACCACCATTGTGACCTGCAGCTACCACCATGAAACTCTCCCATTCCCACCCGCTGTGGCTACCATGCGAAATCCATCACCCACCATTGTTTCTATTCAAAATACCAAATTCGAACAGACAGGCTTTGTTGAGGGAAGCAAGTATGAATATTTGTTTTTGTTTTATCAAACGTGCATATTTTTATCAACATTGTTTGCAGCTAAAAAACTATTGACATATATACATATGATGAAATAGAGAAAAAGAAAAGAAAAGAAATATATTTATGTATATATAACTATATCTAGTATAATATTGGGGTGACGTGGCTTTAGATATATGTTTTCTGTTGCTTTGCTTCCGAATCAAGGCTAAAGTTCATACTTGTAGCATTGAATTGATATTGGTGATTATGCAAAATCAAACTTCACGATGGGATAGGATTCACAACAGTAGGAGGGTTCGCAATAGTTTGGGGTTCACCGCAATAGAGGGTTCGCAGGGGTGGGGTTTTGTGGCGACGGTAGTGATAGCTATGGCTGGTGGTGGTGGTTGGCCGGTCGGTGTGTGTTTGCTGAGTGCTCTATCAACAGGTGTATGTTTGATCTAAAATAGTAATTTGATTAAGGGATAGATATGTAATTAAAAAATAAATCCTTAAGTGTGCGGAACAAGAAGAATAAGTGTGCGGAAATAGAATTCCCCAATAATTATACTATAAATAGAAGAAAAAAAATTATAGAAGGGGCTGTTTGATGGAGATTATACAAGTAATTTATAACATATTTTAGGAAAAGATTATGAAACATGTCTTTTAAAAAATGTGTATTATATGTATTTTATAATTATTTTTTTTATAATTTTATACTTTTTAAATTATAAATAAAAAAAAAGTCATGATCAAATATAAAAAAATTATAACTAAATATTTCAAAATAATATCATTGCTAAAGAATAAAATTAATCATAATTAAGGAAGAAAATGATGTAATTAAAGGTGCCTATAATATGAGATGTGCATAATAGAAGTCTCCCGTATTTTAATTTGGGAGTTTGTGTTGCACTATTTAATGTAATTTATGCTTATAGTTTATTAGGCGAAAATAGTTTAAATAAGCTTAAAAAAACTGGTTTTTCAAAAGTTAAGAAAGGGATACTTTTAACTTTTATTATCTAATTATCAATTTTTAACTTAAAATAATTTTCACAAAAAAGTTCGGTGAAGTGCAATTTTTCTTAATTTTACTTGCACAAAAAGGTAAGATAGTCACCAAAAAATAATTTTAAGTAGAAAAAAAAAAATTTGATACAAAAGGATTATACAAACAACTTATAACGCGATCTCCAACATTTACTCAGATTCATCACCAAATTTAAATTTGGTGAAAAAGTATAGTTTTTAACTTTCTAATTGTTTCACCAAAACGATATCAAATTGAGAATATTTGAAATCTTACACCAAACTGAGGACCTGGCTCTGCTTTTAGCACTTCACTATGTGTGACCGTTGGGTGTAGGGGTCACAGGACGACCAGCCGGACGTCTGGCCAGTTGTCCCCCCAGTCGTCTTGATTACACAAAAAATAAAGAGCAACAGTCATGGTTTGGACACAAATAGCTTTAGTAAGCACACTCTCTCTCTCTCTCTCTCTCTCTCTCTCTCTCTCTCTCTCTTGTAAATTTGTTCAGAAAATCAAAGAAAAAGGCTTACTACGTCATCATCTTCTCAAGCTTCTTCAAGTAAAATCCACCATTCTCTCAATCTCTCTTCCAGAAATTTCTATTTTATTTTAGCTCAACCAAAGCTATTTGTGTCCCATATGCCCCTAGATTCAACTTTCTCTTCATTTTCCATCTCTCTCTCTCGCTCTCTCTCTGTATATATATATATATTATAGGGTGTTTTGGTAGCACACTATTATAATGAATTAAATAATTATATACTCAGTAAAATGTTTTGGCATTTTATCATTTCATAATAATTATTGCATTGTGTAGATCACAAATGATCTACAACACTTACAAATACTTCACAAAATATTCATTTATTTTTAGTTTCAATTCTGAAACCCACTGCCAAATCTATATACAACTTTGAATCCTTCTGTCTTCACTGATAATTCTTTTGTCTGGAAACAATCTTTCACATCAATGTTATGTCTTCTTCCCAAAACATAACTTGGACTAATGATAATCTTCTTTGATTGATATATCTTTATATCATCTTCTTTCTAAATCTCTTTCTGAATCTCTGGAACATCATGCGAAACACATGATGATGAAGTTGATGCAGATATTTCTTCACGTTTCCTTTTACAATTCTTCACAAAGCCTTCGGCTTCTTCTATCATAGGATCTACACGTGACATCTTCAATTGCTTATGAGTTCTAACGAACACCAATTATATATACTAGATTTAAACATGGTTTTGATCAATTATATATACTAGATTTAAACATGGTTTAAACGTGGTTTCAGCATCTCCAATTACCTAAACGTGGTTTTGATGATTAAGATTTACTAATTATATATACTAGATTTTAGTTTAATCAATTTTACAAATTAAGAAATATAATAAAATAATATATATAACAAAGGAGTCCTTAACCGACACGCTAGCGGAAAAATTCTGATTTTGGAGTTGCGGACACTCACCCTCCGTGTGCGGGACTTTGTACCCATTTCAGATTTTGATCATTACTTTCATTTCAACTCTCTCTCTCTCTCTCTCTCTCTCAACTACAGATAATCTACTAGTACCTAATTATATCACTATATTATATCTTTTTAATGAATGTATATGGTAATTAATTAGTTTCTTGTTTTTAGATAAAGTAATATTTTTTAGAATAATTACAAATATATCTTTTTAATGAAGGTAATTAATTTCAAATATATGGTTATTAGTTAGTTTCTTGTTTTTAGATAATGTAATATTTTTTAGAATAATTACAAATACATCTTTTTAGTGAAAGTAATTGATTTCAAATATATGGTTATTAATTAGTTTCTTGTTTTTAGATAAAGTAATATTTTTTAGGATTATTACTTTATCTAATTACTTTAGGATAAATCTCGATTTTGGAGTTGCGGACACTCACCCTCCGTGTGCGGGACTTTGTATCCATTTCAGATTTTGATCATTACTTTCATTTCAACTCTCTCTCTCTCTCTCTCTCTCTCTACTACAGATAATCTACTAGTACCTAATTATATGATTTTTTTATTTTGTAATTTCTTTTTCTTTTTTTTAATTATTATTATTGAGTAGACACAATTCTACGTAATAGACTTTTTTTTTGATCAGCAAAGAAAAATTGATGATCAAAAAAAAAAAAAAGTCTATTACGTAGAATTGTGTCTACGTAATAGACTTAACTCTCAACACGACTTATCTTGGGCTGTGTTTGAGATACTAGGCTGGTCTAAAATAGTTATATAGACAAAAATTGTTATTTTAGTCAAATAGGACAAAATGTCACATCTAACCCATAATCATTTTATTTTCTCTCTCATAAAAGTTAAAAAAGCCAAAAAAATCTATCATAAACGAAACTTTTTAGCCTTAAGCTAAGATAACTAAAAAACCAAAAGGTTAAAAAATTAACTCACATCCCAAACAAAGGCTCCATATATATCTTTGTTATTTTACACTAATTAAGATGTTTTATTTGGTAAAATTCACAACAACAATTTTACTTGCGCATGTAAGTGAATTAATGAAACATTCTTCCCTAATTAGTTAGAATAGAGAAAGAAGAATATTTAAAATAGTGGACCCTATGAAAGATTTCATTCACTCACCTCATAAATGAATTAGCAAAACTATACTTTTTCGTCATTGGTAAATTCCATTTTTAGTGAATACTGGTCTTGCATTCAAGAAAAATAATAAATTAATGGCCATAACAAGAGGGGAAAAGAATGCTTATATCATGTTATTATTGATAATAAACTACTATATAAGTATAATAATGAAATTTTTAGTTTAAGGTCCCTAATATTAAGATTCTATAAAATAAATGACATATGATATTTTCATAATTGTTGGGGTCTCATAACATTTTCACAGAAATTTTTTTCTTTCCAGCTCTTTACAGTGAAATTTTTCTGACATGCAAAAATTTCTCTAATAATATTATTAAGCGGCCGTAACTAATAAGAAAAAACATATTAGACCTCTCTTACTATCAAAGGTTGAAGAGGGATGTTTCACTAATTTTTCCTATAATAAATCAAACTATACATATATGATATATGTTAGATTGTATTAATTTTTAAATTATATACATGATAAGTTTTTCTTCAATGGTAACATATATTATCGTCATCTAATAATAAAATCTCATATTAGTAAGCGTACTGCGTTTGACAAAATCTCATATTAGTGCTGTCACTAAGTAGTGGTCAAAACCATTTTCCCATCCCCCATAGATCATTACCTCAGGTGAGTTGTGTGATTTAATCTAAATCATGATGAGATCCACCGCAAGCCATGAATATTGAATAATTTCTCGTCGCGGAGCATTGCTTTCCGATTTGATTTTATTGGCACCAGTCGTAGCTCTTTCTTTCCCGCGGTCCACACTCCTCTCTCTCTCTTCACTGAAGCTTCTGGAGTAGAAACAGAGATAAACTCAGCATTCACTTCCGTTGGTAAAACAGTTTCTCCAATCGTTTTCCAAGTTACAACAATTTTCAGTTTCAATTTTAATTTCGTTGTCTTCAACTCACTGCATTGGAAGAATTTTATGTTTTCTATTATTATTCTGTTTAAAACCCTAAGATTGTGATTTCAATCAGTTGCTCAATCATGATCGGTCAACTTGAACGCAATTCTATTTTCCTTCTCTCCAAACACTTTAACGTGAAATTTGATTTCAATTCAATATTGGTTCACTTAGCTGTAATGCTGGATATTAGTTTTAAGCTTTCATACATTAGATTGATCACGGCTAGGTTGGTTGTGCTTTTGCTTTTTGTTTTTTTAACTTATCAGGTGGTGGCAAAAAAGTTGTTACAATGTTGCAATGGATGGGAGGATCAAGGCGGAAAGTGACAACTGTGAGTTTGACATGGACTTAATTTTGAATTTGCCTGCAAATTGATTTTTATTTTTATTTTAATTTTTTGGACTCAGAATTTTATTTTGAAAAATTTAATAATTGTATCGTACTAAAGTTCATGTTCAATTTTGACTTGCCTATAAATTGATTATTATTTTTTTAACTCAGAATTTTATTTTGAAGAAATTAGTAATTGTAGCATACTAAAGATTCTTAAACTGGAAAGTTGTTGGTTCTCTTAGTGCAACCGACCTTTACAACACATTGCTTTGGCATTTTTGATATCCCCAGAATAACTATTAATAATTAATCGTAATTTTAAATTGATAGGAAGAAATGATGGGAGCTGCATTTATTTAGTAGGTGTTTGGCATGCACTAAAAAAGTACACTTTTTTTTGCATACATACACTTATTTGGGTCACATCTATCAACATTTCCTCTTTACTTTTCTATCCATTTTCTCTACTTTTCTAAATATTTTTTTTTGTTATAAAATATCAAAAAGTACACTTATTTAGAACATCTCAAACCACACCTTAGTTGACTAAGTGGAATATATTTAGTATAGTAGCCTTCCTTCTTCGTGGACTCTTAGTTAAATAATTAAATAAGTTGGTCTTCCTCTTTCCATCTCGGAGAGTCTCCCCCTCTAGCTGCGTGTGCATGTGCCCATATGTACTAGGTGTAAGGCTACTTTCACACTTGCCAAGATTCAAAGTGAGGTTTCTGTGTTGGTGAAGAAACACGCTTGGAAATGAGTTTTTCTTTAACTTGTTGACCTCATAAGTTATGACATGCTGTGATGCTACTGCACTTCCTTTTCTTTTTCCCATGTTACTAAGAATGTATAACTTTTAACTTCTATACTTCTACTCTACATATGACTCTGAAAAAAATCATGTTCATGTTTCAGTTTTCCATCAGCAACTTGAGCTCTATGTGCATGGCCAAGACATTGTAGATTGCATCTAGTATGATTATGTTGAGCTTCTCTTTTGACATATGAGCATGTCCTTTTTTCTTTTTTGCGTGACATTTCTTGATTGTGCTGAGATGGAGAAAAATTTCAGTCAAGAAAGTCGACACAAAAGAGGTACATAAACATTTTTCATTTTTCTTTGTTGGAAATGAAGTGAAAGATCATCTGCACTAGTATTCTTTGTTGCTAAGACCATTTGTTAGAATTTGACATAATGTTAGATGCGGTAAATTAATACATTAAAAACACTTTAAATGTCCTAGGCAAAAGCAATATTTTGGGCAAAGAAAATGGCAACAACAGCAGCAGACAACTGGGCTTGACAGCTTTTCTGATGGAATGAATACATGTAGTCAGCATCAAAATAATAATCAATCACTGGACATTTTTTGTTTGTGGAACTTATCAACAGTTGTTCAAAATTGCAAGTCAAGCTGCCGCAGTGGTAAGACGGACTAAAATTTGAGTCTCTTTTATAGAAGTTACTTGCTTCATATTTCTCTCTATATCTCTTTCTTGTTTGGTGGTTGAGATATAATTTATGATGCTGTTTCGTATAATGGGTTACTTAATTGAATCAGATATAATGTTGCTTCATTTAGTTCTTCGCTTCCCATAAGCGAGGTGGACTGAAACTTCCATGTTGTTATAAATATGGGGTTTGATATAGATACGATTTCCAACAAACTATTTTAAGTGAAAAGCATGTTCACAATCTAGAGATAAATTGCAGGTAAAGATGAACTCTGAGAAAGTACTTGGTCAGACATCAAGGTTGATTATGGGTGTGGCGCTAATACACAAGTGAGATGTAGAATCATGATAGTTGAAAAAAGTGGTGTAACTTATAAGAGGGAGATGGCTATATACAAAATGATTAATGAAGGGGCCAAATGAGAATTATGAACGTACTGAATACAACGACAACATGCGGAATCAAAGGCACACCCGTACATGACCGTCGATGACCGATCCGAAATCAAATAGACAAATCCATCCGTACAAGACCGTCGATGGACCCACCCGTACAAGACCGTCGGTGGTTAAGAAGATTTCTCAAACAAAGGTGCTATATAGGCTTAAAGCCCCCTAACACGAAAGGACCTTTCAAGAATGTCATCAAAACAAAGATAATACTTGATACAAAACTAAGGGATAATCATTCATGTTTGATCAAATACATTTCCAAAGCAAAACGAAGCAGAGTTTTTATCAAAACATTGTAACATAGCTTTATTAAAAATACCATTCACAATAGCTCTTCGGGTGTAGGGATCAAGGCAAGAATCCAAGTCCTACAACACATAATAAATAACATAGAATGCATTTCAGGAAGGCAAGAATGCTCAAAGATGTTCATGCAAATGCATTTGCAAAACAAGTCTTTCATGAGAGACAAAGACCTCGGCAATTCTTTCCAAGACTAAGTCAAGACAATACACTGTTTTTTTCTTCTCGGGAAAGCATGCTGGGTACAAATCAGGTCTTGGCCGAGGTTCCACTCCTCTTGCCGAGGTGTGGTCTCCTAGGCTTAGGTGCAAGTGATCATGTAAGGTAGGCCGAGGTGAGAGACGATGCTCGGCCTAGGTGTGAGGTCTCGGCAAGAATGGTCTCGGCGACCACACTTAGGAAAAGTGAAATCTGGAAAATTTGGGTTTCCTTGAAGAATATGAACATGAAGAACATGAATGCTAAAATCATAACTTTTATTTCCAAATTTGAGGTTTCAGGATATGAGTTCGAAAACATGGACCTGAGTACCCATATTTGAAGATTTTCATGAAAACAAACACAAAAACATGAAACTTGGTACAAACTTTTAGATCAAAACATGGGTTTCTTTCAAGAACACAAGAATATCATTTTCTCTTTCTAAAACAAGACTTTAAATCAATGCATGGCTCATGAATCATGCTAGATCATGCAATGCGATCAGATGAACATAAAGAACAACAAGAGTAGATCACGAATCTAACCTCAAAACGTGAATCAAACGACTCAAACTCTAACAATCAAGCTCGGAATCTAGCTCCTCTCTGAGAACTTCTTCTCCTTCCCTAGAGCTTCTCTCTTTACAAGACAAAGATCTCTCTAAAAGATATGGGTTCTGCCACTGTTAGCTGGTTAAAGCACTCTAGGTAGTCAGACAAAGTGCCGAATGACAAGACAAGAGTATGACAAAGTGTGTACAACAAGTAAAGTAGCATAGGTAGTCGAACAAGACAAAGATTCTGGGTCAAGACATCGGCTTTGGCAACAAGGCTTCTATGATCTCGGCTAGGGGGAATAACTATTGACTTAGCTGTGCCACACCTTGGCCTAGATGTGCCACACCTCGGCCTAGGTCACACCGGCCCCGGAACAAGACCCCTAGATATCGGGTAAGGTTGCAAAGTTCAAGGATGAAACATCTCGGCCTAGATGATACACATTTCGGCCTAAGTGATGCACACCTCGGCCTTGATGGATATCTCGGCCAATATGCCAGGGTGAAGGTGGAGGTCAACTAAAGGGGTTCCAAGATGATCCTAGGTGTAAGGGTTCAAAGGCGTAACCTCGGCTAGAGACAGCAAGGATAGACAACCTTGGTTCAATACACAAAGCAAGGAACGAAGCATGCATATAACACTTAGGCAAAACAAAGCAAAGTTTAAGGATGGAAATTTTGATCAAGGTAAAATCATGCAAATGCTCATGAACATGGCTAGAACCGGACTGAGGATTATTACAGTCTATTCTCCTTAAAGAAGTTTGGTCCCCAAACTTAAGTTACCTTGCTCTGAAAACAACTCCGGATATCGGACTTTCATTTCCTCTTCCATTTCCCATGTGGCATACTTACCATAATGCTCATTCCATTCAATTTTCACCATCGGTATTGACTTATTCCTCAACTGTTTCACTTGCCTTTTGACAATTCGTATCGGCTTCGCTTCGTAACCCAAATCTTCATTAACCACAATCCCGAAATGATCGATCACATGCAACGGATCCCGAATATAGTTCCTCAACATCGAGACATGAAACACGTTATGGATCTGACTTAATTCTGGTGGCAAAGCAAGTTGGTAGGCAATTGGATTAACTTTCTCCAAAATTTCAAATGGCCCGATGTAACGAGGTGCTAACTTACCTTTCTTCCCGAACCTTGAAACTCCTTTCATTGGCGAAACTTTTAGGAATACATGATCCCCAACTTCGAACCCTAACCCTCTTCTTCTCAGGTCGGCGTAACTCTTTGTCGGCTCTGAGCAGTTTTGATCCTTTGTTGAATGAGCTTAATCTTCTCAGTTGTCAATTGAATTATCTCGGGACCAATCAAAGCTTTATCTCCTACTTCGGCCCAACATATCGGCGATCTACACTTTTTCCCATACGAAGCTTCATACGCTGCCATGCCAATGGTAGCTTGGAAGCTATTGTTGTAAGCAAATTCTACTAACGGCAAATGTACTTCCTAACTTCCCTTGAAGTCTAATACACATAATCTAAGCATATCTTCAAGTGTCTGGATTGTTCTCTCTGTTTGCCCATCGGTCTGGGGATGAAAAGCTGTGCTAAACCTTAACTCGGTTCCCAAAGCTCTTTGTAAACTCTGCCAAAACCTAGAAACAAACTTCGGATCTCGGTCTGAAACAATGGACATCGGCACTCCAAGCAGTCTAACGATCTCTTCTATATATAACGAAGCAAGTCGATCGACATTAAATGTAGTCTTAACAGGCAAGAAGTGTGTTGACTTAGTTAGTCTGTCGACAATAACCCAAATTGAATCCATACTTTTTAATGTCTTCGGCAAACCCACAACAAAATTCATGGAGATGTGCTCCCATTTCTATTCGGGAATTGACAAAGGTTGAAGAAGTCCTGTTGGCCTTTGATGTTCTGCTTTCACTTGTTGACAATGCAAACACTTTGACACAAACTCGGCTATTTTCCTTTTTATACTCGGCCACCAAAAGGTTTGCTTCACATCTTGGTACATCTTGGTATTTCCTGGGTGAACGGCAAATCTGGAACCATGTGCTTCTTGTAATATTCTTCTTTTCAACTCTGGGACGTCGGCTACGCACAATCTTCCCTCAAACTTAAGCACTTGATTTTCAAAGGTGTATCCAGGCCTCGGCTTGGTGATAATCTCATCAGTTACCTTCTTGAAAAATTCATCTTCCATCTGACTTGTCCTTACTTGCTCAATAATAGTCGGCTCCACTGAGATCATTGCCGAGATTCCTTCATCTCGGCGAAGTGCAACATCAACATCCACGTTTTGCAAATCCCGAAATATGCGCCTTTACTTGGCGAGTAAACATGATAAACTCCCAACAGACTTTTTGCTCAATGTGTCGGCTTCAGAGTTAGCTTTACCTGGGTGATACTGAATCTGCATATCATAATCCTTCAACAACTCAAGCCATCTTCTCTGCCTCATATTCAATTCTTTTTGAGTGAACAAGTATCTCAAACTCTTGTGATCTGTGAAAACTGGACAAGAAGTTCCATACAAGTAATGACGCTAAATCTTCAAAGCAAACATTACGGCTGCTAATTCTAGATCGTGGGTAGGATAATTCTTTTCATGAGGCTTTAACTGACGAGACGCATAAACTATAACTTTACCTCCTTGTATTAATACACAACCCAAACCCTTATATGAAGCATCGCTATAAACCTAGAATTCCTCATTACCTGCTGGTAGTACCAGAACTGGTGCTGAGACTAATCTCGTCTTTAGCTCTTGGAAAGCTGACTCTCTAACCTCGGTCCATTCATATGCCACTCCCTTCTGAGTCAACTGTGTCAACGGCACTGCAATCCTTGAGAAGTCCTTCACGAACTTCCTGTAGTAGCCTGCAAACCCAGAAAACTACGGACTTCGGACACATTAGTCGGCTTCGGCCAACTCACAATGGCCTCAATCTTGCTAGGATCAACAGAGATACCCTCTTCATTAATTACATGACCCAAAAATGAAATACTGGAGAGCCAAAACTCACACTTGCTGAGCTTAGCGTACAATTTCCTATCTCTCAGCATTTGTAGGGCAAGCCTCAAATGATCTCCATGCTCGGCTTTACTCTTGGAATAAATCAGTAAATCGTCGATAAAAACAACCACAAACTCATCCAAGCATGGCTTAAAGACTCTGTTCATCAAGTCCATAAATGCTGCAGGAGCATTGGTCACTCCGAAAGGCATCACTAAAAATTCGTAGTGACCATACCTTGTCCGAAAAGCAGTCTTCTCAACATCCTCGGCTTTAACCTTGAGCTGATGGTAGCCCGACCTAAGATCAATCTTAGAAAAGACTCGTGCTCCTTGTAGCTGATCAAACAAATCATCGATTCTCGGCAACGGGTATTTATTCTTAACGGTTACCTTATTTAGTTCTCGGTAATCAACACAAAGGCGGAGCGCACCATCCTTCTTCTTAACAAATAAAACTGGTGCTCCCCAAGGTGAAGTGCTCGGCCTAATGAAACCCTTATCCAACAGTTCTTGTAATTGCACTTTCAACTCCTTAAGTTCGGCTGGGCCATTCTATAGGGCGCTTTGGAAATAAGTTGTGTTCCAGGCATAACATCAACAGTAAACTCTATCTCTCTATCAACCAAATGGCCAGGTAAATCATTAGGAAAGACATCGGGGAATTCATTAACAACTGGAATGTCGGCCACTTCAACGTTTCCATTCGAATTGCTTAATATGCTACACAAATAACCTTGGCATCCCTTTTGGATCAACTTATAGGCTTTCATAGATGAGATCAAATAAGGTGGGGATACTACGCCTTTACCCCGAGATGTAACCTCGGCTTTGTTTGGGAGTCTAAAGGTGACTTTTGGAAACACAATCAATGAATGCATGATTTGTTACTAACCAATCCATTTCTAATATAACATCAAAATGGGCTATGTTCAATGGCATCAAGTCAACTAATCATTCGACATTCTCAATCACAACAACACATGCTCTATAGATGGATGCAACAATCATATTTCTTCCAGATGGAGTAGACACACATAGTAAATAACCAAGGGGTTCTAGTTTTCTATCTAACTTCTCGGCAAACTTAGCAGATACAAATGAATGTGTAGAACCTGAATCAATCAATATGTATGCATCTTGAGCTCAAATAGGAAGTATACTTGACACTACTGTCTCGGCGTTATGAGTGTCTCCTGGTACTAATGCAAAGATTCTGCCCTGTCTCATTGGTCCTTTCCCGACATTCCCTTTCTGTGCTGAGCCCGAGGTGCTCTCATCTCTCCTACCATCCTTAGCCTTTGTCTTGGGGCAATCCTTAACTCGATGGCCCATCTCTCCACATTCAAAACATGCTCCAGATGCCCGATGACAAACTCTTGAATGTTGCTTCCCACAACTTGAACATGTCGGTTTAGTATCGCTCCTCTGATTTGAGTTGCTGGAACTAACTACATTTGTCCTCTTCTTGGCATCAAACGGTGCTCGGCGATTGTCGTAACTCTGCCTCTTTCTCTGGCCTTCTCCCGAAGTCTGATACCGGTTCAAGTTAGCTTCTGCCAATAGGGCTTTATCTAAGACTCCGGCATATGTCGGCATGTTGAGCATATTAACTCGATCTTGTATCGGACCTCGAAGCCCACTTTCAAACTTTCTGGCCTTTCTATAGTCATTATCGACCATGTGAGGTGCATACCTAGCCAATTCGGTGAAAACTTGGTCATATTCAGCCACTGTTCTGTTGCCCTATGTCAAAGTCTGGAATTCTGTGGTCTTGCGATCTCGGACACTCAAAGGTAAATGCTTGTCATAGAATAATTCCAAGAATCTAGCCCAAGTCAAACCCGAATTACCTTCTCGGATCATCATCTACCACCTCCGAGCGTCGTCGTCCAGTGTGAATGCTGCTAGCGACACCTTCTGGGTGTCGGTGCTAGGAAAAACTTCAAACAACTTCTCCATCTCGAGGACCCACGCCTCGACTTTCAACGGCTCTATGCCCCCAAGGAATCTCGGCAGATTCATCTTCTTGAATTCTTTAATCAAGGTGAAGGTGCCATCTCCATACAGTGCTGGCGGTGGAGGCACTTGCGGTACTGGAGGAGGTGGGGACGGAACTTCATGTCGGCCGTTTGTCTGTTGGCCTGAGTAGAGGTAGTGCTAGTATTCTATTGCCTTGTTTGTCTTAATTCACGGGCCAAACCCTCTACTAATCTTGCTAATCTGTCCAACCTGTCTTCGAAACGATCTCGGCCCATTGGGGGTCTCCCTCTTCTCATGATGCTAAGAGTATGCAGAATGCAACTTTAAAACAAGTAAATAAGTAGTCAAGTAGGCAAGTAACACAAACATGCCGAGATGATGCACATGCCGAGATAATGCACTCATTGACAAACAACAAGCAACAGGATGCAATTCTAACACCATTCTAAGGGAAATTCTATGCTCTTTGGGACTCAAGTGTGTGAACTAACGTACTGTAAGGAACTTGTGCTCTGATACCAATCTGTCACGACCCCATTCCGGCCATAGTAAAATGATGTCGTGATGGCCAGTAATCCGAGATTACCAAAGGCCAACTTACAAAGGTTCACACAATCAGAGTATACATATGGGGCTTACATGTGCGGAAGTAATAAATTCAAAACTAATTAGTCCATAAGAACTGTGCATAGATCAAATGAAATGGCATACATTTAAATCAAAGTCTTACAACTTGGATACAAATAAGTTAAACTTAACTATTACATCTTGATCAAAAGGCTTCTCAAGCCGACATACAAAACAAATGAACTAAAAAGGCTAAGAAGCATAATCTTCAAGATGTTGGCAAGCTTGAATCCAAAACATATAGCAAAGCAAATAACATCTTAGGCGACACTGCCTTCCTGCTCATCACCTACATATATATAAGGGAGAGGGGTGAGCTAATAACTCAGTGAATGGTACAAGTAATAAAGGTTTTGCATGAATAATATTCGAGATCTTTATCAAAATAATACATATCATAACTTGTAACAAAGTATGGGATGAACTGGGTTCATCAATCAAAGTCTTTCAAAGCTTCTTGGATGCTTAATAACATCTACATAATATCAAAGGATGACATTCAAGAAACATGCAGAATCAAAAGCACACGCGTACATGACCGTCGGTGGCCGATCCGAAATCAAATAGACAAATCCATCCGTACAAGACCGTCGATGGACCCACCCGTACAAGACCGTCGGTTGTTAAGAAGATTTCTCAAACAAAGGTGCTACATAGGCTTAAAGTCCCCTAACACGAAAGGACCTTTCAAGAATGTCATCAAAACAAAGATAATACTTGATACAAAACTAAGGGATAATCATTCATGCTTGATCAAATACATTTCCAAAGCAAAACAAAGCAGAGCTTTTATCAAAACATTGTAACATAGCTTTATTAAAAATACCACTCACAATAGCTCTTCGGGTGTAGGGATCAAGGCAAGAATCCAAGTCCTACAACACATAATAAATAACATAGAATGCATTTCAGGAAGGCAAGAATGCTCAAAGATGTTCATGCAAATGCATTTTCAAAACAAGTCTTTCATGAGAGACAAAGACCTCGGCAATTCTTTCCAAGATTAAGTCAAGACAATACACTGTTTTTTTCTTCTCGGGAAAGCATGCTGGGTACAAATCAGGTCTTGGCCGAGATTCCACTCCTCTTGCTGAGGTGTGGTCTCCTAGGCTTAGGTGCAAGTGATCATGCAAGGTAGGCCGAGGTGAGATACGATGCTCGGCGTAAGTGTGAGATCTCGGCAAGAATGGTCTCGGCGACCACACTTAGGAAAAGTGAAATATGAAAAATCTGAGTTTCCTTGAAGAACATGAAGAACATGAATGCTAAAATCATAACTTTTATTTCCAAATCTGAGGTTTCAGGATATGAGTTCGAAAACATGGACCTGAGTACCCATACTTGAAGATTTTCATGAAAACAAACACAAAAACATGAAACTTGGTACAAACTTTTGAATCAAAACATGGGTTTCTTTCAAGAACACAAGAATATCATTTTCTCTTTCTAAAACAAGACTTTAAATCAATGCGTGGCAGAAGAAAGTATGTAGGAGACATGTATGAGAAATCAACAGGAATAGAAGAATGAACTTATCCATTTCTATTAGTATCCAATATGACTTTTTTGGCAAGTGTATCCGATATGAATGGATAAAGCACTTTTGTCACAGCTGATGCTACGGAGTTCATATATTTTTGGGAATTTTTTAATTTGAGTGTGCATTAGTTTCCCTATCTTGCACGAATGCTAACTAAAGCATATAATGTTGGCACCTTCAAAGGCATGTTTGGCTATGTTTTCATTTTTTGTTTTCTGTTTCCATTTTCCAGAAAACACAGTCACTTGCAGAACCATTTGCAATATGGTAGGTTACAAAAACCATTTGAAACAAGAAAAAAGAGTTTCAAAGAGTCCGTCTTATCTACTAAATGCGAAAAGTATTATACCTTCTTCGTTGTGTCCTGCACAGATGCTTCCTTCAGTACCTTATGCACGCATAGAAGCTGAAGAACATAGCTTTCAAGCATCATCACCTAGCAAGATGGGTTAACGCTAGTATTATCTGGACCCTTGCTTTCTAGCTTCCTTTCTTTTCGCTAAGAATCTTCTGCTTCTGTATTTCCAAATTAATGACAAACTTAACCTCCGTTAAAGATTATGAGAGATGGGTACTTCGAAAAACATGTCGTACCCGTACCGGGTACTTATTGACGTATGGTATCTCGTATGGTACTTCTGCATATGTACTGAGTACATGAAACACGTATCCAAATTTTTTCTTCTTAATTTTTGGCGTACCCAGACGTACCTAGTATATATCCAAGCCGTACCGTGCCTTAATTGAAATAATATTTTCTTCTACTATAGAGATAAAACTCCTTTTACTAGACTTCTTTTTTATTTTTAGTTTTATACTTAGCATATGATTTTAGAAATAAATTATGATTTGTAAGTTATTTAATATATTGACATTTAATTTTAATTTATACTTTTACTTTTGACATTAAATGTTAATTATAGGTTGGATCTTAATAAATTAAACTATTTAATTGATTTTTGCATTACTCTAAATTAAAAATAAATATTTTTTAACAAACGTACTAAGCCGTACCCGTACCTGTACCCTACTTTTTTTTGAATTTTATCATATCGACGTACTCGTATCGTACCAGTACTAGTACTCATACCCGTATCCGTGCTTCATAGGTTAAAGATATAGAAATCGACAAAACATAGGAATAACTAACGAAGTCAAAACACAGGGTAGTTCAAGAAAAAAGGCCATGGAAAAAAAGGTATAAGCTACCTATACTTCCGTTTTGACATGGAACGGAATTTTGAGTATCACAGTGACATCTGCAAATGCCGTAAACCTCATTAACAACAGTAGATAAGAATGAAAAGTGGAGAAGTATATTTCAATTGTCTCACTTACTCTTTTTCATCAATACTCCCCTCAAACTTGTAACGTATCTTCACAGAAGATGATATCTCTTCTGCGTGTTCAGGAGATCCGGTTGCTTTTCGTTCCTCCAATTCTGTAGTTAAACCTTTTGCTTCATTGCAGTCACTGCAGTTGTCCTTTGAACCTGAAGCTTCTAACGACTGTCCATTTTCCGAAGACAACTCATTGCTCCCAATGCCGATGTCTTTCTATAGCTCAAATTGCATGCAGTTGGTTGGCCGGATTTCTGATCTATTTCCCCCATTTTTTGGAACACTTTCTTCCACTAATACACGGAGAAACTCTGCATCACGATAAGAACCTGAAACAGGGAATGAATCTTGAGGTCTAACTTCAACATTGGAATCCATATGTAAATTTGGTTTGCATCGGCCAGACCCAATGGTTGAGAAAACAGGAGTCTCATAAGAGTGCACATTACTATAGGGTTGGCAAAATCCAAGTTTTTCTAAGGAAAAGCTACCAGAAGGCGAAAGTTTAGGAAGGACATTGTGTATAGATCTCGCAAAAGATGATTTGGCATTAGCATGTAATTCAGGAAGAGGGTATGCACCAAAGGGATCTTCAGTCCAACACATGGGACCTGAGGATGCACGTTTTTTTGCCCCTGAAGTTCGGCAAAATGAACCGAATCCTGAATCCCTATCAGCGAAAATATATCCTTTCTCGAACAAACAACTGTCCTCTGATCGTAATTTTTTCTGGGAAGTAGTGTTTAAGTAATGGGCTGGGCTTGAACTTGATGGATTACACATTTTCGTAAATTTTCCTGATTCATCTATCTTCTTCCATTCATGGAAATTATCACTTTTTTCGTAGTGTCTATCTGTGGCATATATATTCTCAACACTGCACTTATTTACTGGGCTCCTAATGTCCCTGCCATATCTTCTTATGTTCCGTCTTGCAACTGAATCTGACGGTGACCCATTAGTGGCCTACTGAGTTGGTGGGGAAAAAAAAAATTCTTTTAGAAGATTGGGAAAAAAAGTTTTAAATATCAAAATTCATCTATTGCAAGAAATAAAAATAACCTGCACTCGAAGAGCATGGTTCTTCACTGTCAAAATAGTAGGAACAAAAGAAAACCAAAAAGTACTCATTTTAGATGATAAAAGTAAAAGAGAAATGAAATAACAAGAAACATCAGTACCAAAGAATTCTAACCTCAGCCAGCTCAAACTCTCTTCTGCATTTTCTGTTACAAAGCAAGACCATGCTTGTTGGTTAATTACATCTCTTATATCACATTTTCTTCCTCCCATTGGATACCTACTATCATACAATGCAAGATTCCTTTAGTATATGCCGAGGTATCCAAAAAAACTTTGAGCAGAAATATCATACCATGTTTCATCTGGAGTTATAAAATCACGATCATTCTCTGATCTTCTTTGCTTGGAATATGGTGGAGGTGAGTCTGATTACCAAAGAAAAGAACAGGAAAAAAATCAATGAGTAAATACCAAGAGTTGATCATCATTTTCCAAGGTCACCAAATTCTCAATGGAAGATTGCCAGAATATGTCTTGAAAGTAGATAATAAGTTTCTCTTGTACAAGTAGAGGACGGTAAATATCCGCTGTATGGTGAATTTGCATCCTCTTCATTTTCTAAAAAATGGCCAACATATTAAATGATGATAGTATATAACCTCAATTTGTGGTTATATATATTAAAGAAGTTCTAAATAATTGGCATGGCATTACCATAATAACTTTAAAAAATGCATCCCCAGAAAGATTCTGTGTAATTCTAAATCCAAACCCAAAGGTATTAGAAGGTGCATACAAGATTTTTTCCCTCCTGGCAACCTAGAAATTAACTGTCAGACATCGAAATTTCCCCATTACAAACCTTAACAAAAGAAGATTTACACAACTCAAAAGAATTGAAGAGATGAATCTCAAGTTTATTATCCCAAAATAAAAAAAGAATCTCAAGTTTTCGTTTCCCAAGACTAGCATAATAAGTTACAGTATGATAAACATGGTTCTAGAAAGCTTCAGAAAACATATATGCATTTCATCATGATAAATACAATTACAGTAGTTCTTCAGATATAAGAAGCTAACAGAATATTGATTCATAAAAAAAACAACGCCCAATTAGTACACATTAAAGTGTGTTTGGGAGGGAAAAGATTGAGTACACATCTAACCTTTGTCATAATGCACAAAGTGATGGCCCCAAGACTTGAACTCATAACCTCAAGGTTATTAGGCCAAGTCTTAACCACAGAATATTGATTCATCCAATAAGTAATTATCATTTGCAAACCCAGTTAAGTAATCGTTAACAAACAAAAAATAGTGGGGAAAAAACAAAAAAGAAAAGCACCCTGGAATCCACACACCACCGCCAAAAAAAGTTCTCAGATCTACATGAGCTACTAGGAAATCAACTAATTTGGTCATGAGACAGTGGACATCTTTGAAGGCATAATGTTCCAATTTTTGTTTTACTTGCAAAAATCACAATGAACTCATTTGTTTCCAAACATGAAGCACCGACACTCCAAACAGATGCCACAGTGCTATTAGATATGGGGACATTGTGTGGACATGGAGACATAGAAGGGGTCATGTCGTGTCCCTTTATTTAATTAATTTGTTTTCGAAGGACACCCCAAAGGACACACTGGGGACACGTCAACTAGTTTATTTCCCCCTCTTGTTTAGTGCTTTTGATGGATGTTGGTGTTAATAACTTGATATACATTGTTGGGCCCATTTCCTAGCAGCTTAAGCTTTTGGGACAATTAGTGGCTTAACATGGTATTAGAGCTCAGGTAGAGAGAGCTTGAGTTCAAGTTTCTTTATTGGCATTTAGCATTAGGTCCCCATTTGGTTGTCTAGTTCTACTTATGTTTGATTTTATGTTTGTCTCTCTATGTGCAAGAGGGGATTGCACATGAGAGAAAGTGTTAGATAGTTTGATATACATTGTTGGGCCAATTTACTAATGGCTTAAGCTTTTGGAACAATTGGTAACTTAACAGTTAGATGTTGAATGTTTACTACTTTTTACTTAAATTTAAATAATTCATAGATCATATTCATAAAAAAACATAAACAATAAGGGTTAACTTAAAAGTAGGGTTTCTTATTATATTGAATTAGTGTTAGTTTCTGTTAATGTTGATTATTTGTGGATGTAATATTAATTTACATAGCAAATATATATAAATATTTTTTTTTATTGCCGTTTCCCCAGTATGTCTATGTCCCCATTTTTTTTGAAATCACAATATCAGCATGTGTCTGTGTTCATGCTTCTTGGGTTTCCACTGTTCCAATTTTTTCTTTTATAGATATCAATCCTTTGAAAATTAAGACCAGAAATATGGTATTAAACTTTGTACTCATGCTGAGACAGGAAGAACCTGAGATATTGAATCTGCCTGTCACTTTCTCAGCAACCCTACACAGATATAACAACTTGGTCAAAGAACTTAACAGAATGACATTCTAAACAGGTAGGAAAGAAAGGTCAATTCTACATAAAATACCTAATTTTCTGTAAATAGGGGTATTCAAAAGCGAAGTCTGAAATTTCATGGTTTCCTAGGTGCAAAAAATCAGCAGAACTGCCATCCATTTTAGGTGACCTATTTTCCATGTTATATCCCAGTCTTCATCAAGAAAATTTCGATCTAGGAAGTTAGACCTAGCTGTTGAAAATAGAGTAAGATTTTTGTCATTTAGTTTTTTGATCATAAAAAGTTAGAATTTGACAATCAAAGTGGCATTTCATATGCATGGCAAATACCAATAAAGAATAGTACTATAAAGCAACCACCTAAGTATAACTGCAAAAATTAAGACTAGCACTACTAAAGAAAGGGTCTTTTGAGTCGGTTTTTTGAGTCGGTAAATTTTACCGTCGCAAAAAGTAGCCTTTTTGAGACGGCACAGAGTTACCGACTCAAATACCAAACCTTTAGTGTCGGCACCGTTGGCCGACACAAAAAATTAATATTTGATAGTATTATTTGAGTCGGTTGAATTTACCGACGCAAAAGATAGACCTTTTGAGTCGGCATAGACCTTTTGCGTCGGTAAATTTGTGTCGACGCAAAAAATTAGACCTTTTGAGTCGGCAACTGATGCCGTAGCAAAAAAAAAAAATTTATAACCAAGATATATATTTATTTACTTGATTATATGTAATAAATATATTTATTTATACATATACTTTTATATTAATATTGAGTGTATATACTATAAATAATATATATCTCGTTTAATATCTGAAAGAGGTGTGGTGGTGAAGTGGGTGTAGTGCGTTGACCTTGGGTCAACTTGTTCAAATGGATGTGTGTTCGAACCTTGGGAGCCTCAGTGAGAAAATGAGTTAAATTTTTTAAAACATTTAACCACTTTTTGAGTCGGCAATCTACCGTCTCAAAAAATTAAAACTTTTGCGTCGGCAGATTGCCGACTCAAAAACTTTTTGCGACCCCACCATTTTCGTCCCTTGAGTTGCCGTCGAAACGCCGTCGCAAAAAGTTTTTGCGTCGACAAATCCGCTATTTGCGACGGCAAGCTACCGACTCAAAAGCCCTGCTTTTTAGTAGTGTAGACACTGTTAACAAATATCAAGTCTTGAAATTTTAATATTGAATTAGCAGTGCTGAAATAATTAAACACTAGATTTCAAAGTTACAAACTTGAAGATAGATATTTTTGATAAGATTAAATGTAAAAACTGTATTCTACTGAGTGTATTCTGCATTCAACAAGAAGTTGAGTCTCACTAACTTGAAATTAAGACCATATTTAACTAAATTTTCAACTTTATTGTGTAGGTGATTATGGGTTATCAAATGCACTCACCGATGAATATGTTCAATTTTAAGCAATCAATTGTGTTTTTAAACATGCCAAAACTTGTGCCAACAGTTTATCATAAGAAGTTGATAATAAAATCATATATCTCAAGCTGAACCTTCAGAATGTCATTGTACATTAAAGCTGAAGACCTAAACAACATAGATTGAACTAGAAATTGGTTCAAGTGGCTACTTGGAATATCAACCATATAATTTCAAGGAATGTTATAATTTCAAGGAAGGGCCAAGATCACGGGACAGCCCCCTTTCCAATTCATTTCTTAGCCCCTCATTCGTAAGGGACACGTGTTATGATCTTATCATAGTTGCTAAAGGGATATTTAAATGCTAAAGGTCATGGGATGAAATCATTTCATCTCTCTCGCTCTCTCTCTCTAGTCGAGAGCTTCTCTCTCTAGCCCAGAGTCTCTCTCTCTAAATGGTATAGTAAAGAGTGAAGCGTTTGTTCATTAGAGAAAATATATATGTCCATATATATGTTATTAATATACGATATTATCGTATATAGTGCTATTGTATACATGTTGATAGAGTTCAACATGTTATGTTTCACGTTGTTGGAGATGCTATTCGCTAGTGTTCATTAGAACTGGTATGCAGTTGAAGATGTCACATGTAGATCCCACGATAGAAGAAGCCACAGGCTTTGTGAAGTATTGTAAAAGGAAACATGAAGAAATATCTGCATCAACTTCATCATCATGTGTTTCGAATGATGTTCCAGCGATTCAGAAAGAAGATGATATAAAGATATATCAATCAAAGAAGATTATCATTAGTTCAAGTTATGTTCTGGGAAGAAGACATAACAGTAATGTGGAAGATTGTTTCCAGACAGAAGAATTATCAATAAAGACAAAAAGATTCAAAGTTGTATACAGATTTGGCAGTGGATTTCAAAATTGAAACTAAAAATATATGAATATGTTGTGAAGTATTTGTAAGTGTTGTAGATCATTTGTGATCTACACAGTATTTGTTTATGAGGTAGTCATGATGTAATAATTATTATGGAATAATAAAAGGCCAAAACATTTTACTGAGTCTCAGTCTCAGAATTAATTATTTAATTCATTATATTCTTTCTCTCTCTTACTTTCACTTTCCAATTCATTTCTTAGCCCTTAAGTCTTTGTGAGTTCACGTATGGAATACGCTTCAAGATATTTCAAATTAAAGTGAAAGGCGGTGCCAGCTGCTTTATTCGCTGGCCCACAAAAAGGATACGTTGTTGCCTGACGGCCTGAAGAAACAACATAGCCTTTTTGTGGGCCAGCAAATAAAGTAGCTGACATTCTTCACGACCAAGAAACGAATAAAGCATAAAGCAACAAGCCACTTTTTTTTATTAAAGTTCAATTAAATGTATCCGATCCTCGGATACTTTAGAATAGTCTGGAAGCACATTACACAATACAACTACGTGTATTGGACAAAAGTACATTACATGTGACTCGTATTTCTGATTAAACAATACGCCATCTTTAAAATGTTCAATTATATCATATCTTATATCTTGACACCTGGCGGCATCAAGAATTGCAATATTCTGATAATCATAAGCAAATATGACGTCTTCCCTTCTTCCTCCATTGAACATGATCGCTCTTTTAGTAGCAATAAGGTATATACCAAATGTTGATTTGCCTTCACCTCCCTTACGACCATATACCCAATATATGGTACGTCTATCTGGAACAACTTCTAAAATCACCAACAATTGTTTCTGCCATTCTACCAGATCTAACTCTAAGAAACGTCTATTAAATTCTTCCTGGTAATATATTGAACGAGCTTTCTTCAACGCTCCTTTGTGTTTTGAATAACTCTCTGGATCGTCAATCGTAATCTGCTCTAAAGATTCCCCAGCGAAAGCTCTCTTCATCAATTTACTCAATTTAGGCTTGGATGAGTCGGACTCAATCCAAGTACCAAATTCCCATGGACCTTCAAGTACCAAATTCCCATGGACCTTCAACTCTTATCTGTTCTTTCATACAATAAGCACGTGATATATATCACATGACACCACTAAGGGTATAATGGTAACATAACCCCAAATGCAAAGATGGCACATTGCTTGATGGCCTGAAGAAACAACGTAGCCTTTTTGTGGGCCAGCGAATAAAGTAGCTAGAACCGCCTTTCACTTTAATTTGAAATATCTTGAAGCGTATTCCATACGCGAACTCACAAAGACTTAAGGGCTAAGAAATTAATTGGAAAGGGAAAGTAAGAGAGAGAAAGAATATAATGAATTAAATAATTAATTCTGAGACTGAGACTCAGTAAAATGTTTTGGCCTTTTATTATTCCATAACAATTATTATATCATGACCATGTCAAACAAATACTGTGTACATCACAAATGATCGAAAACAATTACAAATACTTCATAACATATTCATATATTTTTAGTTTCAATTCTGAAACCCACTGCCAAATCTATATACAACCTTGAATCCTTCTGTCTTTCCTAATAATTCTTCTGTATGGAAACAATCTTCCACATCAATGTTATGTCTTCTTCCCAGAACATAACTTGGACTAATGATAATCTTCTTTGATCGATATATCTTTATATCATCTTCTTTCTGAATCTCTGGAACATCATGCAAAACACATGATGATGAAATTGATGCAGATATTTCTTCACGTTTCCTTTTACAGTTCTTCACAAAGCCTTCGACTTTTTCTATCATAGGATCTACACGTGACATCTTCAATTGTATACCAGTTCTAACGAACACCAGCAAACAGCATCTCCAACAACGTAAAACATAACATGTTGAACTCTATCAACATGTATACAATAGCACAACATACGATAATATCGTATATTATATTATCACAGTTGTTTTATGTCTCTAGAGGGATATTTAAATGCTGAAGGTCGTGAGATGAAATCATTTCATCTCTCTTGCTCTCTCTCTCTAGTCGAGAGCTTCTCTCTCTAGTCGAGCGCTTCTCTCTCTAAATGGTATAGTAAAGAATGAAGCGTTTGTTCATTGGAGAAAATATATATGTTATTAATATATGATATTATCGTATATTGTGCTATTGTATACATGTTGATAGAGTTCAACATGTTATGTTTCACGTTGTTGGAGATGCTATTCACTAGTGTTCGTTAGAACTGGTATGCAATTGAAGATGTCACATGTAGATCCCACGATAGAAGAAGGTGTAGGCTTTGTGAAGAATTGTAAGAAACATGAAGAAATATCTGCATCAACTTCATCATCATGTGTTTCGCATGATGTTCTAGAGATTCAGAAAGAAGATGATATAAAGATATATCAATCAAAGAAGATTATCATTAGTCCAAGTTATGTTTTGGGAAGAAGACATAACATTGATGTGGAAGATTGTTTCGAGGCAAAAGAATTGTCAGTAAAGACAGAAGGATTCAAAGTTGTATACAAATTTGGCAGTTGTAGCTCGGCTTTTTTGTCGCCCCCCATTTCGGAAAGGTTTCGAAAGAAAGCCTTACATTTCGGACTCCCGTCACGGTTTTGCATCTAATTTCACAAAGCGCAATGTGACACTGATAAATCACTAAAGAGTCCAATCCGGCAAATCATTTTGGAAAATCACATTTTGAATCAGAAAAATGCCAAAACTGGACTGTTTTGCCAGATTACAGAGTCGCCACCTAAATATTTTATTTTGGAAAATTTAGGAAACCCTGACTCGTGCCAAAGGCCACGTGTCTGTCATCACCAAAGTTGCCTTGGCTCAGGAACTTGGGTACAAGAGGGGAAGAGCATGAAATGCAAGCACCCCCACTCGCCCGATCAAAGATCGGCCTCTACTAATCATGATACGTTGTTTTAAAAACACATGTGCTCTTATTCTGGTTATTAAGCTAGCTTTACTACGTGATGCGCACACACACAAGTATAGACTAAGTCATA